ATGTATACAATGATAATATAGGAAAGATTAATCTTTCTTTTTTATGTTATAATTTTTTATTTTTTATTTTTAGGTTCATTAAATTACACATGAATATCAAGTTGAGTTAACCAAATGATCTATCAATTACACCCCCAAAATTTGTAATCAGGTTGATTGGTGGTTTGATTCAAATTGAAATTTGGATTCAGGGATGTAATAATTTCAGTTTTTAAATGTCAAGAACGAAATTGATTCATTTTAAAAGTGAGGGACGAAAAGAATATTTTTGTGAACTATGAAGGATGAAACCGATCATTTTCTAAAAAAAAAAAAAAAAGGTGGCTAAATTCTTCTTAATCCCGGCCCGTACCCATTAGACAAATTCAATAGCCAACACTAGACGTCCACTAGGTCGAAGTGTTCATCCCATTCTGCCTCATTCTATATTCACAACCCAGCTGCAGGCCCAACTTCGATAGTTGAACAGACCAAGCTACATCCTTCAAACAAACAGAATCCATCCTAAACATTCAGCCCAATTCCAAAACACCAATAAACTTTGAAACACAGCTATTGTGGTTCCGCAAGGCAAACCGAAAGGAGGAAGAGATATCTACCAACTAGATAAGAGAACAATTGAAGTTCTCCATTGAATGCCAAGTGTCACTATATTGTTAGAGAAAGGAGTTTGTTTTCTGGTTTTTTCGGGTTTTTTTCTACCAAAAAGTAAGAAATGTCTATTTCAGCCATGGTCTTCAAATTCAAAGTCTTAATAGTTCCTTACTATTTAGGGGCTAATTGGTAACAATGGTTTAATTATTTGCATTTGTTCCTTTTGTTTGGTTTTTAATTGATGTGAAAGGTCAATTGAATCCTTTTATGAAAACTAGCTCATTAAATAGTTGCTAACTATTTAAGGTTATTTTTGTATATTTGAAAATATTTCTTTTATAATTTTCTGATCAAGTGCAAGTAATTGTAGACTATTTGTGGGCCCTTTTATCACATGGCCTGTTTTGAATTAGATTATATGATTAATTATATAATTATATAAATTAATGGAGTTATGTCCGTTAGAAGTAATGTGCTTGCCCGTTAGTATATGACTGATGACTGATGATGAAGTTAGTCAACACCACCTTAATGGTCTTATTAGTCATTGAACTTCCTTCTTCTTGATTTAGCCAGAATTCCCTTCTCCTTCTTTCCTGTCGAATAGCCTTTTTCTTTCTCTCGATTGAATAGGTCTCTATACTATATCGGCCTGCAAAACTTTCAGTTTCTCACCAATTCCTTCAACAACTAAATTGTCCTTCACTTTGATTGCAACCCAGAAAATCCTCCACAAGCACGTGAAGTTTTGTCCTGCCCCAAAAATTAGGTCAGTAAAATTTCTTTTCCCCAAAATCTACGACCCTGCAAAATCTTCGATTTTCTGTCAATTCCTCGAGCAACTAATTGTACTTCCTTTCGATTGCCTCTTAAAAAGTCGCCCAATTCGCGTCAATTCTTCTTTTGCCCCAAAAAATAGCTCACTGAAATCTCTTTTTCCCCAAAATCAGTTCATTTTAGGGATGGCTGCTCTACCGACTTATGCTATGATACAGCTTTCAAAATCTACTATTCCCAGCCCTATATATACTTTTGTTTCTCAGTTTTGCCGGTCTTCAGCAGACGAGCGAAGAAAATCTAGGTATTTTCTATTCTGTGTCTTTTTATTTCGACCTGCAATTTTTTAGTTTGATGAATGTTCTTACCTTCTGTTTATTTATTGCCTTCCGTTAATTAAAGACTGCCATGTCTTTTATATTATGCATAAAAGAATAATTATGATGCTAATTTTTCGATTAGCTTACGTTTACTTTTTCCTCTGTTTTTATATTAATTTCAAATGGTGCCGGACTTTTGCCAACATTCAGGCGAGCAAAGAAAATATAGGTATGTTTCTATTTTCTTGCCTTCTGATTTGAACTACAATTTTTTTCCCACTGTTGTTGCCTCTGTTTATTGCTTTCTCTTAATTATAAGAAACGCGATGTGTTTGATGTTATGCTATGATGGTTTACTTTTCCCTCTGTTTTCAATTTCAAATGTTGCATGATGTTGTTAGGTGTTTATCTATTCAATAATTACATCATTTAGTATCATTGTACTTCGGGTTAGCTGTTTGATCTTAAGGTTGTCATTTTATATATATTAGTTAGTTTTAGCTATTCTAGGATGCTTTGATTCTGTCATTTTGTGTGCCTTTGGTTTAGTATCTTGCTTTGTTTACAGTAAAATTAGATTTTGATGTTCTGTGTTTCAAAATGAAGAAAAAAAGAAAATTTAGTACAGGTTTTAGATTGATAGATGAGATGTTTGATGATTCCCTTGATCTAACAATGTTGGAAAGAAACAAAAAGACAAACTTAAATATGGTGACGGAGCATATGAAGTTTACTCTTGATTCTTCTGTTTCTCAACCATATTCTCCTTTTGTAATCAACTGTGAGAATGACATGCGTGAAAAGCACTCTGTTGAAACATGTGCTTCACAAAAAAACATCGATAGGAATGCAATTCTGCCAAATGACTGCAGAGGTAAAAATGTTTACTTTCCTCCAAAAAATACTGGAGAAGTTCATTATACCTCTGATTCTACTGACAAGCATTGTTTGCCTACAATGAATTCATCTTTAATCAACCTCTGTGATGTTGAACCTGCTGGTTCATCACAAGTGAACTGCAATGAGGAACCATTTGTTATAGAAAATCAGTTTCAGAGTGAACAAGTTGCAAACGTTAAAGGAAAAATTAGTTATTCTGAAATATCAAATCTAGATATGGAACTAGCTAATTATATTCCTCCCCTTTCTGTGAATAGGCATATACCTATAATAGGTAGTACATCTGTTATATCTTATGATAAGAGACCTCTTGAATATTCTGAAATATATCATGAAGAGGTGATAAATAAGAAAGAATATAGGAGACAGACCTACTTTAGATGGAAACAGAAAAAATTGAGAGGAAAATCTAGATCAATTGGTTCTTATGATAAGAGCCCTCTTGAATATTCTGAAATATATCATGGAGAGGTAATAAATACGAAAGAATATAGGAGACTGGCCTATTTTAGATGGAAAAACAAAAGATTGAGAGCAAAATCTAAATCTATTGCTTCTACAAATATAATTGAAAATCGAACAAGCATCACGATTGTGAATGAGTGTTCTTCAGTTGTTGATGTTCAGCGTACTTCTCGATCTCGTTCGAAACATCGCAGATCATCTCTGAAAAAAACTCAGCCAGGTCTATAGTTAATACTTTTAAGTTTTCTAATATCTGTTTTTAAACTAGCATTAAAATCAATTGAATGATTTGACTACTAAGTGCTCTAAAATAATTATATTTTAGGAAGAGGGTGCAAAACAGGAAGAGCTTTGTTGGATATAATTCCTGACAAAGCTGATATCCTACCACGCCAACTAGATTGTCCTCATTGTGGAGCGAAGAAGTTTTTTCTGAGACAGCATATTTTTGTTGCCAAGATGGTGAAGTTGTTCTAGCTCAAAATAAAATTCCAGATATCTTTAAGGAGCTATTGACTTCATCTTCACAAGAGGCACAATCTTTTAGAACTCTTATTAGAACGTATAATAATCATTTTGGATTCACTTCCTTCGGTGTTAAAGCTGATCTGACTCTCTCAAAAAGGAATAAAGGAATTTACACTTTTAGAATTCAAGGACAAATATATCATTTTCTGAATGATTTCAATTCAAGCAATGGTCATAGTAATAATTTACAGTTATATTTCAATGATTTTGAAGCTGAAGTAAGCAATCGATTAGCAGCTTGTTCTAGATTATCTGAAAGTGTGATTAGAAAAATTATGCAAGTTCTTGAGTGTAATCCATATGCAAAATTTTTTTGAAATTTGAGAGAGGTACCTAATTTAGATAACTACTACATTGTGTTAAAAACTCTGCCCGGTGTTGATCAAAGAGTTTATAATCGACCAACAACTTCACAAGTTGCTGGTTTGTGGGTTGAGGGGCAAGAAAATGGAGAAACCGGCAGACGTGATATTAGAGTTCATACCCATAGTGGTGCTTCAAAAAATATACAGTACTATTATGGATGTTATGATCCACTCCAATATCCAATACTTTTTCCTTTTGGTGATCTTGGCTGGCACCAAGGAATACCAAAGAAAGGAGCAAAAGTATATGGAAGAAAGAGGAAAAAAAACAACATGTAGCAGATTTGATTTCCCCTGCAAATGCTGCTACAGCAGAACAATTAATCCAAAATGAAGAATATGGTTAGTATAATAACTATATACCATGATCTTTCATTTTACATATTTATTATTTATTATGATTAGACATTTAATGATGTACTATTATTATTTGCACAGCAATGGAAAGCATACATGAAGATCCAAATTTTGTGTCCCTTCGAGAATATTATTGTTATAAACTTCAGATTAGGGACAATGATGAATCTTGGTTATTACATTTTGCTCGACTTCTACAACAATATATTGTTGATCAATATGTGAAGCTTGAGACACAAAGACTTGACTTCTATAGATTACAACAAGAGGAAATTAGGAGAGAGTTCTTGAAAGGCATAATAGATGCTTTAGGATCAGGTGAGAGTCAAGCATGTAATGTTGGCCAGCGTATCATATTACCACCATCCTTTATTGGAGGGCCAAGAAATATGAGACGTAAATACATGGATGCAATGACATTAGTACAAAAGTATGGTAAACCAGATATATTTCTGACCATGACTTGCAATCCTAATTGGCCAGAAATAAAAGAACAGTTAATAGACAAAGAAGAGGCACAAAACAGACCAGATTTGCTTGCTAGAGTATTTCATGCTAAGTTAGAGCAACTTAAAGATGAACTTTTGAAAAAATGCATCTTTGGTGAAGTGGCAGCTTACACTTATGTCATTGAATACCAAAACGTGGACTGCCACATGCACATTTCTTGCTAATTTTAAAGTCAAAATTCAAGATGTATACCCCTGAAGAATATGATAAAATTGTCTGTGCCGAGATACCAAATAAAGAGAAAAATGAACATCTATATAATTTGGTCATTAAACATATGCTTCATGGACCATGTGGTTCACTTGATCCAACAAATGTATGCATGAGAAAAAATGGAACTTGCAAGAATAATTTTCCTAAAAATTTCTGTGAGGAAACTATCCAAACTCTTAATGCATATCCTGAATATCGAAGGAGAGATGATGGAGTTCAAATTAAGATTAAATCAGCTCTTTTAGATAACAGATGGGTTGTACCATACAATCCATATCTTTTGGCTAAATTTGATTGCCATCTTAATGTTGAAATATGCTCTACAATTAAGGCAGTCAAATACATTTATAAGTATATCTATAAAGGTCATGATAGAACTAGCTTCTCTGTAGTAAATAATAAATCTGATTCAGAAATTGATGAAATTAAACAATATGTATCAGCTAGGTGGGTTTCTCCACCTGAGGCAGCATGGAGAATTTTTAGATTCTGTATGAGTGAAATAAAGCCACCTATTATTCATTTACAATTACATTTGGAGAATTATCAGCCAATGAGTTTCAAAAAAACGGCTAATCTTCAAAATGTTGTCAATAACTATCATTTGAAGAAAACAATGCTCACTGAATTTTTTTACATGAATAGGACAGATAAAGCAGCTCAGGATCTAAATTGTACTTATGTAGAATTTCCTGATCATTTTGTCTGGTTACCTAAGCAAAAATACTGGAAATTGAGAGAAAAAGGTGAATCAATAGGTCGAATAATGACTGCTCATCCTTCTGAAGGAGAACGATACTACTTGAGATTACTCTTATCAAAGGTTCGATGTCCAATTTCATTTGATGACCTAAGAACCTTTAATGGAATTCAAGTAGAAACGTTCCAAGAAGCAGCATTAATTCGAGGCTTGTTACAAAATGATAACAGCCAAGAAATTTGTTTACAAGAAGCCTCACTTTTTCATATGCCCTACGAAATGAGGGGACTCTTTGCAACACTTTTGGTTTATTCTTGCCCTAATGACCCAAAGGCATTGTGGAAAAATTTTGAATCTTCTATGTCAGAAGATTTTGCCAAATGTTCAGCAATGACATCTGCACAAGTGAAAAGAAATGTCTTGCAACAAATTGATGGATTTTTGCAATCGATGGGAAAAAGTATACATTCGTATAATTTGATTCCCACTGGATTCTCTTATGAAAATATAGAGAATGAAACTCGAGAATTAAGAGCAGAAAGAAACATTATCATTTCAGAAATTGACTTAAATTCAATTGAGCTACTCAATGAAAAACAGAAAAAAGCATTTGTAGTCATATCTGAGAGAATTTACTCAGATAGACCTGGTGTTTTTTTCATTGATGGCCCAGGTGGTACTGGAAAAACATTTCTGTATAGAGCTTTGTTAGCTGATGTTAGATCTAAAGGCTATCTTGCTCTTGCTACAGCTACATCAGGAATTGCAGCTTCCATTTTACCAGGTGGAAGGACTGCACATTCCAGATTTAAAATTCCAATAGATATCTTTGATGGTGCAACATGTCGGGTTAGTAAACAAACTTCTTTAGCTGCAATGATCAAAGAAGCAAAACTCATAATCTGGGATGAAGCACCAATGGCTAAAAAGGCAGCAATTGAAGCTTTAGATAATCTTTTAAGAAATTTAATGAATTCAGAAGAAATATTTGGCGGAAAGGTAGTTGTACTTGGTGGAGATTTTAGACAAACAATGCCAGTTGTTAGAAAGGGAACAAAAACTGAAATGATAAATGCATGTTTGATAAATTCTCCATTATGGCACAAACTAGAGAAATTGCAATTAACAGAGAACATGAGAGCAAAATTAGATCCTTCATTCACGCAGTTTCTTTTAAAAATTGGAGATGGAACACAAGAAACAGATGAGAATGACATAGTAAAACTTCCATCTTCAATTATAGTTAACTATAATAATGAGACTGATGCAATTGAAAAGCTAATCAATATTGTGTATCCTGAATTTAAAGATCCTTCAAAGAAACTGCATTGCTCACAAAATAGAGCAATTCTAACTACAAAGAATAACTTTGTAGATGAAATAAATGATCAATTGATCAAAAAAATTCCAGGAGATTTGACTGAGTACCTAAGCTATGATGAAACACTGAATGAAAATCATCAATCTGAATATATTGATCTTCTGAATACTCTTACACCTAGCAATTTACCTCCACATAAGCTATTGTTAAAATCCAATGCCCCAATAATTCTTTTAAGAAATCTTGATCCTACTGAAGGATTATGCAATGGAACTAGACTGATAATAAAGAGTTTGAGCAAGAATGTTATTTGTGCTAAAATTGCAGTTGTTGATTTTTGTGGCAAAGAAGTTTTTATACATAGAATTTCCTTGCAGCCACCAAGTGATGAACAATATCCAGTTCCATATACGAGAACACAATTTCCAATTCGTTTGTGCTTTGCAATGACAATAAATAAAGCACAAGGCCAAACTTTAGATTTTGTTGGTATTTATTTGAAAGAACCTGTGTTTTCACATGGCCAATTATATGTTGCACTTTCAAGAGCCAAAACAGCTTCGGCTGTAAAAGTACTTATTAGGCCAGCTTATTTTGATGAATCATGCACTGATCATACTAAAAATATAGTATATAAAGAAGTTCTTGAAGCTTCCCAGATTACATTATCAGGTTTTAATATTCATGGCCTGTTTTGTTTTCAACTTTATTATTTTGTTTAATTCACTATCTAATTTCTCTACGAATACAGGCCATCATACCTAGACATATATCTTCAGTACTAGACATTCAGAAAGGAGCAGAAAAGTGGACTGTTCTAGCCCAAGTTGTTCACAGAAGCCATGGTCAATTAACTCGTGAAGTTCCACCTAGGCGAATTATGCGCTTTCTGCTCACAGATTCTGAGGTCAGCAAGTACTTTCCTATTTCTCTGCTCATTAATTAAATTCATAGATGAGAACATTTCAGATTCTATATACGAACATTTCATGATTTGCCTCTTCATTACCACATGGTTGATACTTTCTGAAGCTGAGAATAAGGATGATTAGCACCACTTTTGACATAGTAATCAGTGAATTTAGAGCTCTGATATCTTACTTATATCAGCCTACTCCTGAAGGGAATCTTGCTGTTCATTAAAATTTTCTATCCAGCTAGCAAGTAGGCTTTGTTGGTCCAGAAGAAAAAGAAGAATGTTCTCAATCTGTGACACCAAAAAAAAAAGAGTGAATGAGAAGTCAATTTTCAAACTTATACCAAAAAATTTTACCTTATACTGAAGTTATTCTTGCATTACAAACCTTTGTTATGAGTATATCACAAACATATACATATGGAATTCCAGTTTACCCTGTTACATTATTGCTTATTACATCTCACAAAAGACACACACACTAAAGAGATAATGGAATTGTAAAAGCTTAAGGGGAGAAAAAATGAATATTTCTGCTGGTCATCAAGACAGGCTGTAGTAGACAGCATGTGGGAGTGTAATATGTTAATTCTCTAAATTTACACAGGACTAATGAACTGCAATAATTGACATACTTATGGCAGTTAACATTTTCATCTATACAAACCATAGTTTCATCTGCTGATATCAGAACTATAGTTTCATTACAAGTGAATACTCGCCTAACTATTAAAGTATTCATTCCTATAATTTTAATTTCTGTGTCATAAATATAATGTTAGCCATCAACATGATAGTTATAGCTATAACTCATAATATATATAAAACTAACTTTTCCTAATCCTAATCAGGGAACAAAAGTTTGTCTGCTGATTACATTTGCTTAAGAAAAAACCCTTAGTATTCATGTAAGTTTCTAATATAAAACATGCCTGGCTTCATCTTATGAGTTTAAAGCAAACACATTATTGTGCTTGCTGGAAAAGACCAAAGCCTGGTCAATGATCATAATTTCTTGGTGAATTGTTTTGTTTCTCTCCCTATTGAATAGATAGGTTATGTCTTCATCTGCAAATGATCTGCAAGTAGTTGAACATGAATGACTTTGAATCAATAAGATTGGTGTTGTTGAATCTTTGTTCTATAGCACTTGCTATAGTGTTCAATATATTATGTTGCTCTATCTGCATATCCACAAATACAACTTATAAGCCAGGGATCCATTTCATTTGGAGGATGACCATCATCATAGTCATACAAATGAAATTCCATAAGAATGATAATAAAAATCCAATTAGTGTTAAATAGTTCTATAAGAGTAAAAATAAAAATTCAGAATTATGCTTGAAGCTTGAAGAGATTATTTATGAACATCTCTGAAAGGGGTAGGATAATGCAGTACCAGTAATTCCACAACAGCATAAAATCAGAAGATTGACTTGGGATCTTGCCATTCATGATTTGTTTCTCAACTGTTTCAATAACCTTCTGCTTACTTTGTGCATGAAATAGGTAATTAATTCTTATCTGAGTTTAGATGATATTTGTTACAACCAAAGTTACTGGGAACTAACTTAGTGAACATACATACTATCATAGCACAGCTATAGCTTCATTGTCAGTGTAATACATACAAAACTGACTTTTTGTAATCCTAATCAGGGAACAAAAGTTTCTGTTGTCACCTATGAACAACACATCAAAGTCTTCAGTAAATTTCTCCAGCCTTATCAAAGGTATTATGTTTCCAATGCCATTGTCGTTCCTGCTGACCCAACATACAGAGTTGGGACCTATGAATGCTCCTGGATTTTGAACTACAAGACTTTGATTGAAAACTATGCTGAACCTGTGCCACCTATGTTGCCTTGCATATTTGAGCTGACAAACTTCTCTGATCTGCACAAATATGCTGATTCAGATAATCTTTGCAGTAATTTTTCTTACATTATTTTTCTCTTTACTTCACAATCATTTGATATTTTATTGATTCCTTACATTCATATCAATACTTTTATTTCAGATATTAGAGGCTTTGTGATTCAGGCATTACCAGTAAAACAGACAGATCCAGATTCTTCTTCTAGAGACATTATAGTAGTCAATGAAGAGTAAATCAAATCTGAAAACTATCTTCTTATTAAGTCATTTTAGATTAATGATAGTAGTTACAGCTTTTTGTTATACCTGACAGGAAGAAACTGATGCTTATGACTCTCTGGAATGAATTTGAATATGATGAAGGGAGCAAAATAGCAGACATGATTAGCACTGCCCCTCTAATCATAGCTCTACGTGTTAAAGTGACCATATTCAATAGTAAATTTTTCATTATGCATTATGATTTCTTTACTGTGTGTCTTTTAAGTACTTGATGTGTTCTACTACTAAAACATTTCATCATTTTTACAGCTTTGTCATTCACTACTAGGTACTTATCTGGAATTCTGATAAATCCTCCACTCCCAGATGACCTGTCTTTCAGGGAATGGTAAGTATAGTTTTCTTTTTAGTTTTTTCCATAAATAATCAAGTTATTTTATTGATAAATTTTTTATTTGTGTTTTAAACATAATCATTCAGGTTCAGCTTGAACAAGGAAGAAATCAGGAATTTGCTTGATGCAAAAACATACAATGATGCAAGCTGTTTACTTCCTCCTCCAAATGAAGAAGATATCAAAGCAATCAGCAATTTTCAGGCATCATTTCCAGTTGTAAGTGCCATATTATTATTCTAAAATTTTGCTTAAATATAACTATTTTGTGTCTAATTCACATTCAAATACCATTCATGGTTGCCTGCCTCAGCAAAAGGCAGCTTGGGTGCAAGGAACTGTCAAACTTGCATATGGATTCACCAAATATTGGACTACAGCTTGTGCGAATTGTCACAAAATTGTGAATGCTGACATTGACTGGATCATCCACTGTCCTTCATGTAAACAACAAAGTGAAGTTGAACTCAGGTTAGATCATTAACTTATGCTTCTAAATTAAACATTATTCGCATTTGTTACCATATATTAATCTTAATTCCTCCACTCAATTAAAGGGCTCGCATTCCAATTATATTAACTGATGCTTCGAGCTCAATACATTGCATTATATCTGGAGAAGATGCTGAAAAATTGATTGAGTTCACTCCATTGCAGCTTAAGCAAGCACAAGAAGATGTAAGTATGAATTTTCTGTCTTATATTCAGCCATAAATACAAATATACATAGAAAGGAATTCACTGAACCTAACTAAAAAAATTTTTTAGTGCAGGGCTTTCAAATAGATACTGAACTTAATGATGCCTTGAAAAAGTACACAGTAGTCTGTTTTCTGAAATCCTATGTGACTCCTTTCCAAGGTCAACTGCAGAGAAAGAATACTGTCATTAAGGCTTATACTGCAGCTGAACTATCACACCGTCCCCTTCCACTGGAACTTCCAGAAAACACTCAAGTTTCCTCTGCACTTGGCAGCTCATCAGCAAGGCATGCAGAAACATTATCAAAGGATCAATTGTTCACACCAAGCACAAAATTGGTACTTGAAGAAATTGCTGGAGCCAGTTCTTACAAAGACAGCCAGACATCTGCAACCAGTGGAGCAAAAAGAAGCCATGAGTTTCTAGAAGATTTACCAGCAGACACACATGCTAAACAACCAACAAAGGCTCCTGAAGAGTTTGCCAAAAAACCTGCAAACCGTATGGTCCACCTGCAAATATCAAAGACAGTCCAGCCAAGAAAGCTAAAGCAAAGGAAGACTGATATGGCCTATTTCTGTACTTTTGTTAAATCTTTTGTTCATTGCCTTCATCCTTGCCTCCATTGCTAAGACAATATCTTTTGAATTATATTATGATCCATTATTCTTTTGACTTAAAAAGTAATGGATCCTAATATACCTATTAATAGTTTAACCACCAATGCTGTACTTCAATAGGCAATGAAGTTTATTTAAGCCTCCTAATATGTAATTGTGGCTAGCACCCAAGTATCTATTCTACTAAGACATGAATGATTGAGTTTATGTAATGTATTATTGTGATTTGCATAGTATTTACCTCTTCAGCCTATATATACATTATGATCTTTTAGGAAATTATCCTCATTAGTCATACCAGTGGGTAGGCCGCTGCATAGCGCGGCCAGACCCATGCTAGTACAATTACTAAAAGTTTGAATTCGGGTGAATGGACACATATTTATTGGAATGAAATACTGTTGTTGATTTAAAAAAAATTTTGAGTGAAAAACACATATTTTATTTAAATGCTCAGAGGTCCTCTAACATTTTATTTGCACATATTGCTAATTACTGGACAGTCTATAAGTACTTAAATGTGAATGTTGACTGAAAACAAGGTATTTTGGTTTTAAATTTACGTGGCAATTATTTCATTTAAAAGAGTTATCCTATATGATAATCTTTAAATGCAATAAAATGTTTTGATTCCTAATGTCCTCAATTTTGTAGTAGGCTTGTACATGAATAGAATGAAATTGAACAAGTTTTAGTTTCCTGTACCCGTTATATTATATTTCCTTTTCTTTGGTCATTTACAACTATGCACACCGATAGTAATTTTTCTTTCTTTGAATCTTATTTTACATAATCGCAACCCTTTTAAAGGATCAATTTTGAATTTTGCAATTAATGCATTGATATCAATTAATGTGGATGCAGTTGAATCTTTAAAAATATATAGAAGTAGTCAATAATAATTCTTTCTTTGAGTTCAAAATATTGCATTCAATTTGTTGAATGTTAATTTTATTATTTGAAAATAAAAATTGGATGATCTTTCTATTATTTATTAACTCTATATATTTTTAATACATTTTTACTTTAGTATTTTCAAAAAATACCCATGGATGCCCAAATCCATAAGGGTCTGGATATGAATTTACTTTTTGAGACCCAAAAGGGTCTGGATCTGGATCTGGGTCTAACTAAATTAAATGGGTCTGGATTTGGATCAAAGGGATCCAACCCAAACCCTATCCATTGACATACCTAAATATCTCAGAATCATGTGCTGCAGCTCCTGTTGCCATGGAAACACCACGAAATTAATATAAAAAAGTTCTATTGGGCTGCAACAAGTAGTACTATAGCATGAATACACAATGATAAATATTTCATCCATAATAAACAATTTGAGAAAATGCCATCCATGCATGAAAAAATTCTTTAATAAATTAATAAATATGAGATGTAACACGTTCCC